GTGTATTTCTCATCATCTTCTATTCTCATTTTTTTTCACGTTGGTAGAAATGCAATGTATAAAATTATGTCAGGATATCATGGACTCCATCCTCTCACATGCAGTCGTGTGCCATATTGTTTTAAAACACTGCATGTCATATGAAGTACAATGTGACAAAATTGGTCTGGGTGTTTCTATCATTTCCTGCATCTCTCTCTTTTCCAAATACTTTTAAAGTTTTGCAGTTTGATTTCTGGTGGCTGTACAGGCAACACCCTCCCAACCATGTACCAGCTCAAAAGAGGTGCACTGATGAATGCAAAAACAGGCTGTGCCCATCTTGCTCTTAGTATCCCTGTTTTATGACTGTCCTATGGTGTCCATTGGAAATAGGTAACAAGCGTTCAACACATATTTTCTTTTTCAAAAATAGGAGAATGTCATGGCACGGCTCCAAGTTACTTCAGGTAGAAAATCATATTTTGTGTGCTTATGTAATGGTCCTGGTGGCAAATCACTCCCCTATAAAAGCACATTACACTGAGCAGCTTCCTGTGCTCTACTCCGATTGTTTTTAGTGCTGTCACTGGGGACAAATACACACATGCACCTGTACTGTGTTGCTGTTGTGCCATGCTTCTATGTATCCATGGCTGATGGCTTCAAAATGCAGATAGAAAGAAGCCTAGCTCACATGGAGGATTGAGCACACATAGAGAACTTGTATTGAGGTGGTTGAGGGTGTGGCACTACGGCATCAAGTTTAACTATACTATATGCAGTATATGATGCAAGACATGTACATAGCATATGAAGGGACAGTAAGGAAGAGGAGTGATGGCAGGAGATGTAGCAGGAATTCTGGGGTGTGCAAGTGAAAGACATGGGCAGGTTTTGGAAGAAAGCAAACTTAGCATGTGAATGAAGAACTATGAAAGATAACAGAGGCATCTGGAAATGTCAAGTGCTTCTGAGGAGGAAGACAGAGAATGTAGAGAGGGGGAAGAGAGAGAATGTGAAATGTGCGGAAGTGTCTATAATTGGGCATCAGAGAGGATCCTGAAAGTCTGTATTCACAAGGTAAGGTCAAACAGTGGAATTATAATAGACAAAACATTTCTTAATCATGACAACCTAACAGAGAAAGCTGTCTTTGTTGTAGCTGCTTGTCAGTAGTTGTTTTTATTTACACATTCCTGCACATGCTGAATTGTTACTTCAGAACTTTCCACTTGGAGCTATAAAAACCCTGACCATTTTATTATTTGGGGAGATTCACTATACACATATACTGTGTGTCCGTCAGTGATTTTCCTACTTTGTAAAGCAATAACAATAACCACCACCGCAAGACAGACAAGCCAGGCATTTCAGGCTTGATGTTCTGAATGCGCAAAACATTGCTGTTTTCTTTTTAAAACCTCTATTGAAGCTATTGTGACACAAGACTAAGACCAACCGTTAACCTGAAACAAAGTAGATACAATAACTCAACAGTAGTTCTTTAGTCAACACTTAGGTAAATTCTATAAGCAGTATCCCATTCATTCAATGCATTTAATCTACTGTAGTTGGAACTAAACTGAATTTAGTTGACAGAGAGCTAATGTTTACTGGTAGGAAGTATGGGCACTGGAAATGTTCCATTTCAGAAAGAAAATATCCTATTTCTTTGGTTATACAGTAGGCATGGGCTAAAACTTAACATGATCAAGATTTTTCAGAGCAAGCATGTGCACAAATCCAATTATCTGCCAAGAGCATTTCTAGATTACACCCACACAATACCTTGCAGCTTTCACCATCTCAATGGTTTTGAGTCACCTTAGGGACACACTAGTTTCTCACTGTTTTGACAGTAGCTTTTAACGCTGGAATGACTAATGTCTCTGACTCATCATCCTTCAAGGAAGGCATTCCAGCATAGGTACAACACTTGTAAGACCCTTGACACCCTGGGTTACTACAATGACACCACTGGGTAGTTAAACAAGAAAAAAATCATCTGGCAGGAAGCAAAACTCTGATACCCCTTTCATTACGTACAAAAGAATATACATTTTGGTAATAGCAGAGGGTACTCAAGTTGAGCAAAATCACAAAAGTAAGTTTTCAAAGGCCAACTATCTAAATGAACCATTCCAAAGATGCAGAAATATTACTGCAGCTAACTATCTTCCACTACTAAAAGGTAAACTGCTCTTCAAGCTCAGAAAGACACTGATACAACACAAATTAATCCAATGAATAGGTTTTCAGGACAATAATTTCAATATCATTCTAGCCTTCACCACATTCAGTAGGGCCAAATCAGCTTAAACTGTAAGACTCCAGTTATTGATTGTGGGTAAGAAACCCCTACTAGGCTACTCTACACATTATTACAATCAAGTTTTATTCAACAACTATACTGATAAAAACAGATAACACTCCCCTCCCCAGAAATAGAAGTCTCCCCATCAACCAAGTGCCATCGGAAACATTTAAAACAGATTATTTGATTTTTCCCCAAAATTGTGCAGTGTGGTATGCAGTATTTAACCTGACCATACGCACAAACACATACAAGAAAACAGGCACACAGGAAAAGTTACACTGTTTTTTTAGGTCCTGGCCATTGCACTCGTTATATCTTCCCTGAACACAAGAAGGGGTATTGACCTGGATTTGAAATTGAAATGTACATTTTGTATCTTAAGTCTGCATACTGAACAAACAGGCAAATAATTCCATTTTGTAGTAAACCTTTGCCTTTTTTTCTGTCTTGTAATGATCGCTGCAGCTGAAATCTAAGCCTGGAATAAACTTTAAAGGAAATTGCCAAATTTCATTTTGTTATCTTCCAGGGAAGCATCATGTTATAAAGCAGGGGTCTACAAACTTTCCAGTATGAGGGCCACATCATGTATTTTACACATTTTCAAGGACCAAAAGAAAAAAAACAACAGTTTTACAATGAATGAATAAGTTTCATTTGGATCAACAAAATTGTACATGTATACAATATTAATGTGAATGATGGAACTGCTTGTTTAATAATAATATAATAAAATATAACAGTCTTTAAAATGCAACCACATTTTTGTCATTTTCATTTGTTCTTTTATTTTTATTTTAAATTCATTTATTTTTATCTAGAATGCTTGCACAAACTAACAGGGCTACCTCCTCTACAACTACAGCCTTATTATTGTTACTTTAGGTATGAACCTGCAAATGCCATTAAGAAATAAAAGATTTCAAATCATATCTCTGCAGTAAAAGTTGTGCATGGCACAGTTTCTGAACTGAAATGCCAGGGAGGAACCACTGTGCCATTGTTCATTAGATTTGTTTCCCCATAGTCCTTCCATGCTGGCTTTCAATTGCTATACAGTAGGACCACCATAGCCATAGAATCAGTACGCACAGTTTCACATATCCACTGCCTGAAAATATTAACTATCCCCAAACAAATGGAGGAACCACAGAGGTGCTGCGGCTTGTCCAAACATAACACGCAGCAAGGCAGGAAAACGGACCCGTGCAAAGAGAGACAAACCCCACCTGGGAAAGACCTCGTGCCTGTCCTGGCCCCTGTTCTAGCCCCAGCCCCCCACCCCGGCCCTGCAATGTTGAACCCTCTTGAGAGCCTGTCACTCACTAGCTCGCTCACCCGCCCGCCCTCCAAGCCACCACCACTTCTGGCTTCCCTACTCACTAACCAAGTCACAGCAGCAAGAGCCACCACCATCATAAGCCTCACTGTTACCAGTCCTCTTTCACCCACTGTACCCCCTTTCTTCGGTCTTCACCCCTTGCCAGGCCATGTTTCTCACGGAAACCCGGCCCTCTCACTGCCGCCCCTGCCTCCTCTGCCAAATCTCACAGCAGCTGCAAAAGGGCAGCGATCACAGAGATGGGAGAGACAGCTGGCTCAGTAAATGCTGAAGTATCATAGAGAGGTAAGTAGGTATTTTCAGAAGGGTTGTACCACGCAGGACTGGGTCAGATAAAAGGGCAAGGCGGGCCAGATGTGGCCCGTGGGCCATAGTTTGGAGACCCCTGTTACAAAGGGACCAAAGAATGGCTAACAATCAAGTAGCAGCAATGTGGTTTAGACAAGAGTGAGGTCACACTCCAGAACAAGTTATCAGGAAACCTAACAGGCTAGAGAAGAATAATTTGGCCTAAGAGAGTCTGGAAATCAGGACACTGGAACACTAAGATGCAAGGTCAAGGGACAAATAAAGAGGAGTCTATTAAGCAATTTCTCCTACAGACAAGCTGCCAAAGAGCCAAGCTTAGGAGAACTCATTCGGCTCCTGTGCCAGTGGATCTGTTCAGGACTGACAGGCTGATGTTTTCCTTCTCATTAGTTTTGAAAGGAATACTGTGGAGCAGCAAAATGCCACTTACTAAGGTTCCAGTGGCATACAGCTGCTTGTTAAGAGTTCTCAGTTTGGGTCCACTGACTCCTTACATAAAGAGGCAAATAAGCCCAAGATCTCATTCTGTTTTCCAAAACTCACTATCAGTAAACACTCATCATTCTCGGGGGGCAATGTTTCTCAGTCTTAAGTCCCCAGATTTTCTTGGACTAAAACTCCCAAAAGCCTTCACCACAAGCTGTGCTATCCAGGATTTCTGGGAGTTGTAGTGCAATAACATCAAGGAACCCAAGGCTAGGAAACACTTTGTAAAGGGAATATATAATCAGCAGACACAACGAGAATAACTACAAGATTTAATACAAAAGAAGGATTTTTGCTCATCCATAACATTTGCTGGGGGACTCACTAAAGCAAATATCTGTTCCACTCTACTTACTGATAGATACAGTAAATGAAAGTTATCAGAGGGATAGTAAATTAGACTGACCTGAGAACAGTGCTGTGTACTGCAGTAGTCACATGATCATCCACCATACTGGACGTATTCAACCCACTCTTTGCATTGTGCCAGTTTGCTTGTTTAAACCCACTTTTAAGCTTCTTCGTTAATTTTAAACTGGTCAATTAAGTATGTTAGTACAATACCTGTCCAGTGTATGCAAAGTCCAGAGCTTGCTTTAAACCTATGCTTGTGATGCCATGTAAATTCACCTCATCTGCACCGCTTTCAACCATACAAAGACTGAACATTGCCTAAGGAAAGAAACAAAACAGTTGTCTATATTAAAATTATTGTTACAGTGATATGTTAAAACTACCCTTCATCTACATGGATATCAGGCAGTGTACACACACAATCAAATACAAATAGAATAAAGCCCAGAGGTTTGTAAATCACAGAATCATGAAGTTGGAAGAGGCCTATAAGGCCATTGAATCCAGCCCCCTGCTCAATGCAGGAATACGAATCCAAGGATATCTGAAGCATAGAACTTCCCATTATTATTATTATTACTACTACGATCATCATCATCAGGCACAGTGGATCAAAACTTTAAAAACATTGACTGGTATTATATAACCGATACAAGTTTGAACCTAAAACATAAGGATCTGTTAAATATCAATGCAGTAAATATGCTGTTCCCAACACTGTTGGGTTTTTGTTGCTCTGATTATGCTATTTCTAAAATCTGCAACTGCTTATAGTACTGTGTGAAATTATTATTATTATTATTATTGTTGTTGTTGTTGTTGTTGTTGTTGTCGTCATCATCATCATCATCATCTGATTCCCTATTGACATTTACATATTAATAAGTCAGATCTAGATTTGTTCTCCACAATAAGAAAGAGATAAATAATGATCTTGAAGATTACTCCCTCCCGCTTAGCGCCCTGAGTCTCCTGCTGAATGGGTTCCAGAGAGACTGAGGACTCTCTAGTGCAGAAAGAAAAAAGCAACTGGGGAACATTGCCTTTCTACCGCTTTCCTCCAGTAGGCAGCATTCGCTAGAATTTCCTAGTGTCCTTTGTGAATGACAGACTGATGAATTCATTGGCTTCGGTCCCAATCAATATGCTATCTACTCTAGGGACCAATTCTATTAGTTTCACATTATATCCTGAACTATGAAAACAGTGACTGGCCTTTGAAGAGTCCATCCATTAGCATTTCACAAACTTGCCCCATGATCTTCATCTCAACTTCAGCACCCTGTCTGCAATAAAGAGATAACAGAACTAGTCCGTCTAGTAGGGCTGTTGTTTCTGTGGCTCTTAAAATCTTAAGATCTTCAGGGGAAGCTCTTCTCTCAGTTCTACCACTCTCACAGCAACATCTGATGAGGACATGGGAAATGACCTTCTTAATGGAAACTCCAGGGCTGTGGAATGGTCTCCCTCAGGTGGCTACATTAACTCCCTTCCCTTCCATCCTTCAGGGGACATTCCTTTTTAAACAGGCTTTTTACAACTGAATTAGGCAATGAAGAATTCTTGATTTTAGAATGCTGCACATTATTATCATTATTATTGTTATTTTAAGGTGTTTCTAAAGTGTTTTAACTAGTCTAAACTAGTTGTTTCAACATAATTACATGTTTGTATTTAAATGTAATAATTTACTGTATTTTAATTGGCTTGTTTTTTAATAATTTGTGAGCTGCCTTGGGTCCCTTTGATGAGAAACGTAACATAAAAGCAAAACAAAAATAAAACAAAATCAATCCAATAAAATGGGGCTTCTAAGAGGACATTGTAGGCATACAGGTCACAGCTATGTAGACAGTTCCAAGGGGATCTACTGTTCTCACACAATCACTGTTTACACCAATTCCCAGCTAGACCGTGGGCCTGCCAGCAACACCACATCTCTGAGGCAATGACGTGGGAACCACTGTATGTATAAAGTTTGAACAAATCTTTAATTTTGACTTCATGAAATCAATTTACAAGTATAATGCAATGGTAATTATTAAGAGACACATTTTAAGGATAAATAAATATTTCAAAAGAGAACATGCTAATTTTCTGAAGAAAGAGCTACCTACAATCCCTTGCATTGCTATAGAAAACATACAAGGCTTGCCAGAAGCTACTACATGATCAGCAAATACAGTTTAAGAACTTCATAACCCCAATCATGACATCTGTTCAACAATCTCCTTTTGCCCTTTGTTACCAAGGTCAACATTAGAGCTGACATGAAGATCAATGTTAAGCACCAAAGTAGAAACCACTATTCTTTGTTTTCTTCTTAAACTTAATGTAATCATGGCCTGTCAAGCACTGTGCCAGCTTTCTTTCCTTCTCTGTGCAAGGTGAATCTATCAAGTTTTGGTAAATCAGGTTTATCATACTTATGCTTAATCAGAGAACATATTAATGAATACCAAGATGTTCTTCATATTATAGATAAAAGTTAAAATACTTTCCTTTGCATATTTTACCACAGGATAAACCATTGTTATGTGTGGGTTTTATTTTACTACAGATGCTTAAGTAGCAATTAGTATTACACAATTCAGATATAAAGAGTTGGAAAAAAAATTCCTGGAAGAAAGGGTGAGGATACAGGAGATAATGTGGCAAAATATCACATAGTACGTCCCATCCTGTATTCATTAGCTCTCTCTTGGACTCTTCTGAATAAACATTAATTAATAAACTATGATTCTAACAAAAAAAATATCAAGCACAGATTAATGAAATCGTATTCTAGTGGCATTTTTTTACACAAAAGCCTCTTATTCAGGTAAGGGAAGCAGCAAACAACTATCTTATTTAGACCTAAAGACAGAGTTGTACAGTACTTCCAATGCGTGCAGTAACTACATGCATTCTTATCTGGCTCATCCAGCAATCTAGCATTTTAAGCAATCACCTCAGCGTTGGACTAATGCAATTACAGTACTTGATCTTTGTTTTGTTACTTAAAAAAAAAGGTGGACAGCCATCATACCATGTACTTTCCAGATCATATTGTCAAGATTTATTTTGTCACAGAAAGGATAAAGAGTAACCATCAGAAGATTCCAAAACACGGTGATAAGGCAGCAAAGAAATGGAACTGGGTAGGTAGTATCAACGAACAGAAGCATTTCTGTGGTCATAGAAACATATATGTTTGATGTGGACTTCACCTTGTCTATCAACATTCATAATAGATATGGAACAAAGTTTTGGACTGAAAGTAGCAAGGGAATTACAATCTAGAGATAGCTATGTAAACTCCAAAGAGGAGGAAAGAAAAGCTGTTAGAGGAAAGAAGAGGAGCCAGTAGTAAACACTAGAAAAAGGAAACAGAATTAGGGTGACATTAGATGGCAGCCATATAGAAATGAAGGAATAAAAGGGGAGGATTCAGGAGCCAAGAAGGAGAATGCCATTACTATCATGTTATAATGTCCATCAAAATGAGTAAGAAAGAAATCAGACCTCTATTAGAAAAGACAGAAGAATATAACATATTGAAATCTACATCACACAGAGACCAAGATTTTTTTAACAAAGAAAGTCATAATCGATTAAAAGCAGGTTTTTGTCTATAGAAGGGCAAAGTTGCACAGATATTTATTTATTTATTTAATTTATATGCCGCCCACTCTACCCAGAGGTCTCTGGGCGGCTTACAATGGACAACAAATGGAAGGGACATTTGCAGGCTTGAAAAATGCACTCGTCCACTCATCCATGACAAGTGAAAAATGCTGCTTGACAAGTCACAGCTTTCTCCCTGACTGCCTCCTTCCCCTCCGCCTATCTCTCGCTCTCTAATCCTGCAGTCCTCCACTCCCCGCTCCCATTGCAGAAGTAAAAACTGCCCTCTTCTCGCAAGAAGAGAGTTTGAGCAGGACATAGAGATATAGCTCTGCAGGAGAATGTAGAGTAGTCCCATGCTGGAGAATATGGAGATTCCCTGCCCCCAATTTCAACCGAACGAGGACAAATCTTGGGGTGGGAGGGAACAGTGGCTCCTTAAGAGGCTGGGTGCTTTTGCTTTTAGTTTTATTTTTGCTAGAGACATTCAAGAGAAAGGAATTCAAAAAACAAGCTTCATGACCCCACAGGCATGCAGGTAATAAAGCAACCCAAGTCTGAGGGTATAAATCAGTGGTTCCTAATCCGAATAAATTGCAAGGCTATAGTCATGCTGACTGGTGAAATTTTTGACTGACTGGTGAGACATTCTAAAAATTTTAAAGCCCTGGACATTTGGGATGTGGTTGGGTGAGGAGCTGGAATTTACAGAGATAAGTCCAAAGAGAATGAGGTAGAAGAGGAGAAGGAAACTTCAATGATGAAAAATAGTGAGGTAGCTGATGAATTAAATAGGGAATAGTAAAGGGGGGAAATAATTGAAACACTGATTGCAACATCCAATCTATATCAAGATGCAACATTATCTGTATACACGTCAAATTATTAAATTCCACTTCGTTTCTTTTCCAACGCAAATGGTTTATAAAGGCAAACAATCTTCAAATAGTTATTTACAACATCGTTCTAATTCAGAAATAAATACCCCAGTTTTGACGGCATCTACTGTATTCTTATGTATTAACTGATTGTTAAAACATTAAGCAACAAGGAAAGCAAAACACATCTTTCCTCTATCATATCCAAAAATCTACTAAGCCCAACTGAACAGTAAACAGGAGTTCCTCACAACTTTCTCGTTTGGGTAATGTTTGTGGAAGAACCTCAACAACACATCACTGGCACAAGTCATCCCCATACAAATACTGCTATTTTATCTAGCCAGGCAACATATGCTTGGGAAATCTTCACCCACACCCACAGAGTTCCTTCACACGTGCAGTTTCTGGAGCAGCTTGTGAAAAAGCCACAGGAAAATTACTCCCACACCCCTGCTGGTAAGCAAAAGATCAGCACTGAGACATAGGCTGTATTCAAGCAAACACTGTAAATGCTGACTGAAATGATGAAGGCAACATATGGTGATCCTACTAGCACAACAACTAGTCATTTGGATGTTCAGTCATTTCACAGATGCCATGCAAGATCAAAGACTGTCTCCAGGCTCAACCAAAGATTGCATACTTTCATCCAGAGGTAGTATCACTGAGACCTTTTACAAAATTATGCAATTGAAGCTCATCAAAATCACAACACAAATGGCAACTAATATAGCAACACCACACTAACATAGTTTGAAACAATAAATTTTAAGAATGGCAAATGTAATTACTCTTGGTCAATAAGACAGTTCTGAGGATACTCACTGGAATGAAATTGTCTTCACAACCCACCTCAGAGCAAGCAGTAATGAGATCTCTCCAGATCCCCATAACTGAAACAATCTACCATATGTCCACCAGCCACTGTATGTGAAAGAGGTCCTCAGAAGGAAAATGAAGTGTAAGCGCAACTCCTTTGATTCTTGAACTGCCACCAGTTCTTGGAGCACACTCAAGTGGCAAACATGATCCTTTGCTTTAACCTGCAGCCCAGTTACAGTAGGTTGAACTCTTATCAGCTCTGAAGAAAACAGGACAGCCCTATTCTTCATATTCTGAGTCAATAATTGTCAAAATATCATTCAGAATCTTCACACATCAAAGAAAATGTTAAGCAAACCTTTTAAACCTAGGAAACATTTAAAACTGTCTTCTAGCTTTCTCAATACTACATTTGTCTCTCCCACACATTTACCTATACTTTTCACGCATTCATATAACAAAATTTACCCCAGTAAATCCTGACCTAGATAAAATCCAAAAGACTATTGTCCTATACAAGACCTAAACCAGGTTACAGTTATGCTGAACTCCCAAAGTCTCAGAACATCTGCCTTCCCAGACCATGATGAAAACCAAAAATTAAAGAAGGGGGGGAAAAAAAACCGGTTCCATTCAGTGCTGCCAATTAAAAACCTACTGTTGACCTAATACTGGCCAAAGCAAGAACTGTAACCTGAATAACGCTGCAAAGTAAAGGTGCAACTAAAAAGCTGCAAAGTAAAGGTGCAACAAAACAGCTAGGAAGTATGGCTTGATCCTCTGTGATTTGCAGTTTATCAAATTGGGTTTCCATGGGTGAAATGACTGTAGCTGTCCAGACGACAATTTGCAGGAGTTAGTAGGGGCAGAGGCGGAAGCTGTCTTAACATGCTAACAAGATACTAACTGGCAATTTCCATGCTCTTTTTAAATTGTTTTACTAATTGTCCAATGTTGTTTGAAAAACATGGTGTTTTCCAGTGCCGACTTGAAACCCTTTAAAAAAATAACTGTCTGGAGACTAGGGAACCGACACTCCCATAAGCACCCCTTTGCATCAGATCAGGCAATTACGCAGGGAAGAAAACAGAAAGATGTCAACCCAATCAGAACAAATTTAAACCACCCCTGCCAACTGACATAAGGCTCCATATAGGGAAGGCCATTGTGGAATCATCAAAAGTGCAGCCACAGACCTAAATGACTGAGCTATCCAGCAGTTCTTTAACTGAACTTTGTATCTTGCTGCCACAAAGTTTTAAATTCTAATTCATCAGTTCCCAATCTAATGTAAATCACAGGGTAAATGTGGTCACCCCTCAAGCGAGTTCAACTGCATTGCTTTTACATTAAAAAAAGTCTTCTATATGTTATCTCTTGCCAATAACTGCATGTCACACAGAATAAATAGCCACACAATATGCACTAAATGAAGCATATGTGTGATATCAGATGATAGACTGCTAATGTTAAACAGCTGAAAAATAGGATTTTCCTGCTGAAACATGTAGTTAGATCATGATCTTTGTTCACACTAGCAAAAACAAATAACAATGATTGTTACAGTACTTTGTTTTTAGGTTTATAGTGATCTAAAAGTATAACTGCATCAAGTTTCCAACACAAATATAATAATAACAATGTATTAACTTACTCTGAAGTAGTCACTGCATGCTGCTAGTACTGCTTTGTGGGCATGGAACTTTTGCTCTTCTGCAATGAGAGTTATATCACAGAGTATTCCGTCGCTTCTTTGCTGGTTCAGAGCAGCCAAAACAGCATCATTATGAGAACTGGACTGGCAAAGCCTCTGACCAGTCAGCATATCCTGAATACTGAAAAATTATGAAGGAAGGATTAAATCCAAGAGCATCAAAATACAGAATTACTCCATTTATAATTAGCCCATTCAAGCATTGTCACAATCCTGTATATGCAAGCAAAAGTGCCAAGTGTGCAGTACTGCCAAGTGTGCACAGAGTTATGGTCTTAATTTATTATTTTTCCTTCTCTTCATGACTATAACTTCATGCTGCAGAACAGTTTGGAACAAATATTACCCTGGCCCACTAGATAATGGTGGATTTAAATCTTCTGTGGAGAATCATTACTGATATTTCCAATATACTGCACTTGGGGATTAAGCTCTATTCCATTGGTGCAACCTAACTTCTGTAAAATGAAAAAGCAGCTTCCTGGTCTACACAGCTATTCCAAAGATGTATAAATAAGCAAATCATTGTTTAGGTAGGCCTAAACAACCAACAACAAAACGAATATTCCCAACTAGCCTGACAGACATTCCATTAATCTAAATGGGGGAGGGGAGGGAACCACACACCTAAATAGCTTGTGGAAGGAGCAGCTACTCTTCAGTATTCCTTGTGTTTGATACAGAAGTTACTGGATGACAATATGAATGGAGAGGGAGGGAAAGTATGGAGCATCAAGTGCTGTTAGATAATAACTATTACAGGACATGCTACAGGGATTCACTTCCAAAAGCATACAGGCTTTTTACAGATGTTGTTTAACCACACTTCCAGCTCAATTCTCCTATACACAGAAAAGACGCTTTATTAATTACTCATTGGAGTCAGGAAATAAACTGCAATTAAAAAATATACACACACTGTTTGTGATGTGTACCTCACCATGTATCTCTAGCCTCTTAAAGAGCATATCCTCAGATACCTTATTTGCTTTTTGGGGAGAAAATACCCAGAGATGTGAGATACTGAAAGCTTTAAAGCCATTCCTAATTTCTACATGCACATAACACTGTTGCTGCATATTTGGAATTTTGTTGTTTACTTGTTAAGTTGTGTCCGACTCTTCCTGACCCCATGGACCAGAGCACGCAAGGCCCTCCTGTCTTCCACTGCCTCCCGGAGTTGGGTCAAATATCTGGAATTATTTATACTTTAACATAAGGTCTGTGCACTGGGTTTCTTTTCCATTCATGTTATAATCCAATTATTTCCAGTAATTATTTTATTATATATTTGAAATATAATAAGAGGCAGAGGGCTGAAACATTTGAACTCTAATAGTAGAAAAATTCATTGAGCAGACGATTTGGGAGAAATGATTTTCATGTTTTTGCAATCCTTGTGAGCCTTGCTAAACACAGAAGGGTTAATGTCTTGAAGTTCTGGAATAGCTTTCTAATTATAGTACTGGCTTCTCCTCATAATCTGTTAAATTACCACTGCCAACTCCTGTCAACACCTTTTGCTGAAACATAAGTATGCACATGCTAGATAAAACAACATAAATAATCTTATAAACACAAAGAATATTTCAGTGTAAACAGAGGGCACATTAAGATCGAAAGTACAGTCTGCATATTGATTATACTGGCCAGAGATGTCAGGAGTTGCAATTCCACACACGGGAAAGGTATCTGATTGTGTAAAACTATTATTCAGAACCCAAACCTATACTGGAACCCATATTTAAATTACATTGCTCATCTTCCTCCTAATCCATGTTTACATACACATATGGACAACATAATGAATTGGAAACCTGTTGGCAAGTTAGGTGCCAGATGAAAAATCTTTTACCATTAAATAGCCACAGTCCTGTGAACTGAGTCACCTCTTCTAGACATGACAAAGGACTAGCAGGAAGGAGTGTTTTAACCTTTTGTGTTTCTTTCAGAAGAGACACATATGTGTTCAGAATCACATGCAAAATGAATACACAGCTATCACACTGATTATCTGTTAATGTTACTTCCTTCTCATCTATGAGTTGTTGTCATTCTGATAATGTCTAATAAAATCAAATTTCTTCTGCCAGACTTCTCCAACCTAATTATTTTCTGGATATATTGAACTACAAATGACGGGAACTGTAGCCCAACACATCTGAAGGGCCCCAGGTTTAAGAAAAGTGCCTTAGTTCCTGACCATACCAGCCAAATGTACCCCAGATAGACTCCAGTTAGACTGCTGCTTAAATTTCCCGTCACGTGGCACATGGCCATGATCGAACTGTTTTCCTGGCCAGTGATGTATCCATGGTTTATTTCCCCCTCTGAGGATTGCTTTCTTTTGTACCTATATAGTATCTGCACCCTCCTCACCAGTACAGCATGTGTGCACGTCCCTGTCGATTCTTTCCCACTCCAGCAGCAGCAGCAGCACACATGGAGCTGGGGGCACCTTTGTCACCAGGAGTGGCAGTGGCGGAAATGGAGCCTTAAAGCCTGCGCTCTCTCCTCCGCCTCTGCCCACGAGACCTGCCTCTTCCTTTCTTTGAAGAGACAAGTGGGAAGCTAGCGCAACTTGCCTGCCTGCCTGCCTGTCTCCTAACCTTGGGGCAGCGGCAGCAACCACAGCCACCACAGCTGTCGGTCTGGTTCTGTCACCCTTTCCTAGCACCACAGTCAGTCTCTGTGTGCGCTCTCTCTCTCCTTTTTTCCTTGCTGGCGGAGATTTGCAGGAAGCAGCAGCTGTAGTCAAGCTGGAGCTCCCCAGACAGACCCGCAAGAAAGCCTCCAGGGAGTGGGGGTGGTTGAGATACCATGGCCTCGTCCTCCTTCCCCACCTCTTGGCTTCTGGGACGGTGAAGGACCTTTTCAAGTAGTGCACATCTCATGCCCCAGATGCACACACAGAGGCACTCTGCCTCCTGACTAGGTTCTTGCCCGCTCCCGTGAGGGGTCAATACCGTGGTGAAGGGGGTTGAGAGAGAGAAAATGTAAGAGACAATATTGGTGGCTGCCTTCCCTGGGGACATAGCATGGATGTAGGCAGCAATACCGCTTTAACCAGGAAGAAATGAATCTGTAACATTAAAACAAATGAGAACGTTCACCGAGGTATATATACCGTTTGACTGTGATTCAGTACAACAGAGGTATGGAAAGTATCATTAGAACTGGGGTAAAGTGGGGTCTTGACTTGAGAACTTAATCCATATTGGAAGGCGGTTCTCAAGTCAAAAGGTTCTCAGGTCAAATCTGCATTTCCCATAGGAATGCATTGAAAACCATTTGATCCGTATCTGCTCTTTTCCGTCCATAGAAACTAATGGGAAGCTGCTATTCTGCCTTCGACCACTAGAGGGGGATATTTTGTTTCTTTTTTTCTTAGGTCAAGAAAGGTTCAGGGAAGGCAGGGAAAATACAGTCCAGGCAGTACAGTACCAGGCAGTCTGAAGACTGTCTCCCAATCCATTCTCTAAACGCTGGGAGGAGTGAGGAAGCAGACAGGCACCCTTTTCACTGGCCAACAGTTAACTGAAAGTTCAAATTTTGCACTTTCCCTGCCTCCCACGTGGGTTTTTTTCAGTTCTTAACTCAAATCTAAGTACTTAAGTCAAGTCAATATTTTCCTATGAGAGTGGTTCTTAAGTCAAAATGTTCTTAACTCAAGCCGTTCTTAAGTCAAGACCCCACTGTATTGGAAGCTGGTGTAATCAGGCCCTCAATCGACTAAATTGGGTTTTAATTGTTCTTCTAATCTTTAACTACTGCCTTCTACAACCTAACTGTACCCAATGTTTAAATATCAACCTGGCACTTGATCTATGAAGATCGACATAATGCTACTGGTGGCGCTGGAGGTCTCCTGGCAGTAACTTCATGGGCTCCAAAGCCCCACAGGGCTTAGCAAAAGGAGGGGGAAGCAGCAAGCACAGAGCTGCAGGGGCCCTTTGCTCACTTTGCTCTTTGCTCGCTGCTTTCCCCCTCCTTTTGCTAAGCCCCGTGCGGCTTAGCAAGTGGAGGGGAAAAGCAGCAATCAAAGCATGGCAGGATCACTTTGATCCCTTCCCCCCTCCACTTGTTTTTGTTCTCTCCTCAGCTTACTTCCATGTATAAGACCACCCCTAATTTTTAGTCTAAAGGTTTTAGACAAAAGTATTCTTATACAGTACATGGAAAAATACAGTACTTTTGTTTGTCCTTGGGTGACTGACAGTGGCTCCCCAGCAGGCCCATCATCTCCTTCCTGCACCCCAGGAGACTGAGTTTATGGCACTACGTAGTACCCTGATGACAGTCAGTTCAGTAATTGCCTCAAGGTGGGAGACTGTGGAAACAAGCAGAGTCCGAGACTAGGCTTGGCGCCCTTCAAAAAAGACGCAGCTTGTGGAGGCTGCTTCTGAGGGAGACTCTTTCATTTCTCATGCTGGCCTTTGTGCTGCCAATACCTCAACCGAGCATCTCAGACACAAAGGAACTGGAGTCTTCTATGGGGCAGGTATATGAGGCCTCTCTTCCTTGGCCTCAGCCCCTTGCCTCAAGGAAGTCATTGTTCATTTTGCTAACAGTCATCCTCCACGACTCATGCCATCTCACTCACTGCATAGTACAGGGGTTCCATCTCTTCTGTTGCTGAACCCAAGGTTTCCGCCTCCTCTGCTGACTTCCTCCACCTTCCTTTAGTCCAGCTGACAGGCCCTCCTCTCTCTTCCTTTCAGGTGTGTCTCATCCCCAGGTTTTCCAGAGACACCTGGGTTTCCTGAAAAAACAAAACTACCACCCTGCCCAGACTTGGGGGGGGGGCTGCTGCGGTCCACTCAGGGCACTGGTGGGAACCCCCTGACAGACTTTTCCTCACTAACAGGAAGACTGGTACTTTGTCTAAATATGTTTAACATGCAAACAAGTTAGGGAACTACAGGCTGAAATCCCACTGAGTAGCTACACTTGTGTAACTGAATGTTATACAAGCAGTAGCTGTAATAGCACCAAGTGGGTGCTATTAACAAAGCAGTTATGTAGGCTCATTGCACAATTGGTTGCAACAGAAATAATGCAACAGATAGCGCAAACTTTGCTGCCTATGTGTAACACCCAGCAAAGTCATCCCTTCACAACTTTATATCATGCCGAGACATACAGGATTCTGGTCATAGATGGAATAAGCATAGTTATGCATGCATTTTTTACAAAGGAATGTTAAAAGGGGAAAATAATGAAAATGTTTCAGAACTGCAAAAACAAGTCCTCCCAGATACAAGACAGTATGGCGATTCTGATGGAACTTTCATGCATGCAGTTTGCCCATACTGCCATTCTCCAGGCTAGTATTCATCAAATAGATGTATGCTTAAGGAACACTGGCTGGGACAGCACTCATGAACTTTACCTGAGGCACACTTCAGACGGCATCCTTCCACTTGAGCCTTCTGAACCTCTGGCTTCTTAAAAACGTGCAGGAAATGCAGCACACATTCCAGCTACACAGAAAGACAAAACAAACTCAGTTACAAACATCTGTTGCCTCCACCAGAAAACAAGCTGCTACTACTACTAATAATAAAAAAGCAGACTAGATAATTTCACAACAAGAGTGAATAGATTTACAGCTGCAAGAACTCAAAGAAATGCAGCTATCAGTAAATAACACATTTTTCAGACTACAAGCAAGGAGCAAAAAGCAGCATGTAGAAAGTTATGCAACTGCCTGGGTGCCACATAGATGCTAAGTGCAAGGTTAAAGGAGAAAATGGCTGTGTGTAATATGCAACCAAAATATCAAGCCTCAAAACCTATGAGGGTTTTTCCTAAAAAAGAAAAAAATCTGAAAAACAAGACACATTCCATACATGACACACATTTTGCATTGCGGATACCATGCCCATTCCACCATGCTTCCACAAACCCCTGGAGCACAAATCTTGAGAGCAGAGGTTCTCACTTTGAGCTGTTCTACGGTATTTAATGGTACACAGCTTCCTTAAATGTGTTCTAGCAATTCAGGAAATTTTGCAGTGATTCTATAGCTTGAGGTCTGGACAGTAACTGCCTGCTAAAAAGGGAAGGAATGCAGGGATAAGGAACACAGGAGGCAAATGTAACACTCAGTTACATCAACAGAAACTAGTGTTCAGATCAAGGGAAATAATGGTACCATTCTATTATTTCCAGACCTCAACATCAGTTCAGGGCACCACAGCTTAAAAGTATATTGACCAGTTGGAATGTATCCAGAAGAGCGGGATCAAGATAGTAAAAAGCATGGAAATCAAGCCCTATGAGGAATGGCTGAGGGTGCTGGGTATGTTCAGCCTGGAGAAGTGAAGACTGAGAGGTGATATGATAGCCATCTTCAAATGTATGAAGGGCTATCACAAGGAAGATGGAGCAGGTTTGTTTTCTGTAGCTACAGACCCAAAGTAATGGATTTGCTTTAAGAGGAGGAGATTTTTTCTAAATATTAGAAATAACTTCTTAGCAACAAGAGCTGTTTGACAGAAGAATCCACTCCTGTGGAGGGTGGTAGACTTTCCTTTGTTGGTGATTTTTCAAGAGAGATTAGATGGCCACATGTCAGGGATGCTTTAGCATTGGATTTCCTGCTTTAGCTGAGGTTGGACTTGAACACCCTTGGGTTCTCTTCCAGCTTTATTTACAGTTCTATGAAAGTATTGCTCTAAGTTGCCTTACACTAACTCAAATCATACAGGACTACCACAGAACTCATAGTCTAAATAATTGTTTTCCCCAGTTTGTTTTACAACCTATATCCAGCTTTTGGGCATTAAGGTTCAAGAAGCAGACCCAAAAAGCTGTCAAAAAATCTTTAGGGAGATTTCTCACAGACTGATATTGTCATCTAATTTAGGAAGACTATATAACAGGGCTGAAAAGGGACGAGAGCAAAATAGAACCAAAGCAAAGTGATGTAATCTATCAGCAATTGCTCCCTGATGAGCTTTACTAATCAAGATACACCTACTGGTGTTATTATGAAGCTTCTCTACATCTAAAGATGGAACAATCTTTCCAGCTGCTCTTGTTTTCTATGTTTCAGAGCAGAAGTCTTTTAGAACTAATATCGTAAGAAAAAATCCAGTAATTGTATTGACTCTGTAAACCCCCCCCCAAAAGCCTTGAAGCAATATTCCAAAGACATTTTCTGCATGGGGAATACTTCCATGGGCATCCTATGTAAAAGCAACTAAAAGCAATGTACCCTTTATTTGTACATTGAGCAAAACTCTAGTTCATCTGTATGTACGAACCACCGAAGGGACACAAGTACAGGCTGGTATAGGGAAAAGGTTGTGCTTACCCAGAGCTCAAAAGGCTGCTCCTTCTTTTGTTGTGCACATGATGGATGCTAAGACTGCTTCTCCTGGCTGGGCCAATCAGTAACATGGGAGAGCAAGGCTCCCAGAGCTGCACAGGGAAGGGTAGTTCCCTCTCTGCTTCATCTGGGAAACACAAACACACTCCCCTGGGACATCATTCAGTCTCTTTCTTTGTGCAATCTATCCCCCCTCTCCATTATTCTGTGCTTGATTCTGCATATGTCACTGTGTTCATTTCTTCACAATTAGATCATGTTACTTGTCAATACCTTATTATAAGCAACCAAGGTGTTAGGTTATATCTAGTTTTGCAGACAAGTGGCACTTGCACACTTGTTTCCTTCTACATGAGGATGCCCTTAAAGGATCTAACAGAGGAAAACTTTTCAGGACTTGCCCAATTTGGGGACTACTGGACTGGGCCCACCACTAGGTGGAAGGGAACCATGCACTGCCTCATGGCCATGTGGCTTCCCCCATACTATAATCCCCCAGTTTCTTTCAGTTTGTGTGTTAAGGTTAGGGGCACATCAGTCAGCATGTAGGTCATCTTCAATGCTGTGTCAAGCACTCCAGCTGAAACTGACACAGCTATGGTCATGATCCACTCCAGCAGTGGTTACCAGCCTTGGGTCCCCAGACATTCTTGAACTAAACCCCCAGAAGTCCTGGCCAGCACAGCTAGGATTCTGGAAGTTCTAGTCTAAGAACATCTGGGGACCCAAGGTTGGGAACCATTGCATTATAACTGGAGCTGTTATGCTTTTGTGCCTCCAAACTGTCCCCACTTTAACCCAAGATTCACAAACATGTGAACCTACAAATGCATTTAATTGTTCCTAATCTGCCCCTTTGTTTCCCCCCTCAATCATCGTTTGATTTTTTTTTACATACATGAGATTAGCACTAGATCACCTTAGTATTTTATCACTAGTTTTGATATACTAGTTTAGCAATTAGCCTTGTGTGTTTCAAATACAAACCCTCCATCAGGGTAAACATACTACCTCAACTTGTGTTAGTGCATATGTAGACACCCCCACACACTCAAATTAGAACTAACAAAGTGAAAATGAAAATCATCCTCAAGCATTATGAGACTAACTTATTTTAAAATTAGTTGGTTGCCCAGAAGACAAGGTGGCCACTCAGCGAATTTATTCTGTGAGTATGTGACCTTCATCAGCCATTGTCCAAACACTTTACAGTATTTATATCACGGGGCAAGTAATTCTGATAATATGTTATGCTGCAAAGCAAACACCAAAGGGTTCGCTCCTAAGTGCAGGTTTTTGGGTTATATATCAGTGCTTTACCAAAAAAAAAAAAAAAAAAAAAAAGACACCACCACACACAACTACTACAACTTCTCAGAACTAGTAGCTCAAGTACTGCATTCTAATGCTAATTATTGATAGTGTCAGCAGGACTAGCAATTACTTTCTCAATAAACCCAGGCATTATCATGTAGGATATTTGGTTCCAGCTGCTTTGATCTACCAGGAGTGGTGAGCAAACACTGCTGTGGAAAGGGTATGCTGACTTCAAAAGCACATTCCGCTCCAGGAAGGACATTATGACCAGATTAAAGCTACCATCCCACAGGCACAGCACATCCTATGAAACAACAACACTGAGCCATTTCAGACTTTCCAAATGACTGAGAGCTACTGTGAAGGTAATTTGTTAAGAAATGAAGTGTGTCTCATGCTAAAAAATAAATAAATAATTAAATATTGTTTTGTTTTTTAATCCTTTGCTTCAGTTACATTACTTGTGAACATAATATGTCTCATAGGCATTTTATTCTCCCGGGCACATTATGGAGAGATTTAGAAGCAAAGAAATAGGAGGAGAAGGAAACTAATATAATTTGGAGGGATTTTCTTAAGTGCACTGTTGGTGCTGCGTCCATGAACTGAAGGAAAAAACAAAGTAAATTTTCTTAATGTTCAGAATGAATGTTGAGAAATTTATATACATTTAAGTACCATATTTTTCGCTCCATAAGACTCACCTTTCCATAAGAAGCACCAATTTTTTTAGGAAAAAACAGGAAAATATTATCTGTTTTCTTCGCTCCATAAGACGCACAGACTTTCCACCACCACCCCCGTTTTGTGGGGAAAAGTGCGTCTTACGGTGCGAAAAATACAGTATATCTGAACCCTTGCAAATGGCCCCTGAGTTCAAACTTTTGCAAAAGCTTGTACTGGATATGGTTGGTTTGGTTGCTTTATTGGAAAGTGTTAATTAAAAAGCCAGGACTCTTTGTCTCCATTTATTCCACAAAAAGCAGACTGACAGAAAATATTTCAGACATAACAAGGACATCAGCCTAATATCAAATGTTTGGGGCTCGTCAGCCATGGACGGCAGCCCATCTAGGAGAAGGAAAACTCTGATTTCAAACCTCCACTGCCTTGTGGCTATATCCACTCATGGAAAAGGCTTCAGGAGTTAACCTAGAGGCAAAATCCAGAGCTGGAGTCCCGAAGGCAGTTCATGTTGTTCTGGCAACTCCTGCCATGTTGCTGGAAACAGTTGTATTGGCTCTTGCCTTTCCACTGGACCATTTCAGCAACATGGAGAGGGGGGGAATCTGCTGCTTGGGTAACAGTCTATTCTCCATATTACTTTACCTAGGCTTCATGCTCTGGAGGGGACACTCCTCGATTCAGAGCATGTTACCATGGTCTCTCGAGACTGAAGGATGCCTATGCTATGCTATGCTATGCTACTCTTTTTATGTAACACCAAGCAACTTTATTGCCTGATGACCCTACAGTTTAAAAACATGGATAACAGTTCACAAAACCTGCTAACACAACAAACTTTAGAAGTGGAAACAGTATGGATGTGAGAATGATGGTGGTGGTGGTGAGTCTTTTCAGGGTTGAGAATACTCAGGGTTGAGAATACTCAGAGGTAGTTTACCATTCCCTTCTCCTGAGAGTGACTTGGGACTGTGTGGCTTGCCCAAGGCTCTCCTGGGACACACAGTGTGGACTTAAACTCCCAACCTTTGGCTCCGCAGATATATAACTCACTAAGCTATCCAGCCAGGTTGCACTCTTCCACTGATTACTTATGAACATCTCAAATGCATGGTGATAAGACATGGCCTTTGTCTAATTTCTCAGTTTCAAATATCTTTATAAGCTGATGATGTTTAAGGTTATCAGAACCAAGGAAAAGCCATAGTAGATGATCCAGCAGTTAGTGCATTCCATAATGAAACAGATACCTATGAGAAGCCCTCAAGCAAGACATCAATGCAATAACACACTCCTCCTCATGCTCCCAGCAACTGATATACAGAAGCATACTGCCTCAGGGACTGGACAGGGTACATATATTCATCATGACAAGCAGCACCTAAGAGCTCCTTGTTCCATGAATTTGTTCAAACCTCTTTTAAATCCAGCCAAACTGGCAGCCATCACTAGCCCAGTGCTAGAAATCAACTATGCAGCATGGTAAGTACTCCCTGCCGACTGAAATTCAGTATTATAACACAGGGGGAAAAGCTTCTTCTCCACTTTCTCCACATCTTGCACAAAATACCATTATCATGTTTTCCATTTACTTGCATTTCCCTTCAGCTAAATACTGTAGCCTCAAACACTGAAATCTCTCCTTGTAGAAGACTTCCTCTTGTTTATTTGTTTAAACTTCTACCCCGCCCATTTAGTTGACAAGCCACTATTCTTGCCTCCTGATCGCTTTCTGTTTTCGGCACTTCTTCCAGCTCTACAATGTCCCCTTTCAGGTCTGACTCTAACAGTCAGATGAAACCTTCATAGGTCAAACAAAAAGGCCCAATGAACTTTGCAGAGGAATAAAAGAATATGTCTACTACACAATCAACAACGTTTTCTGGATTGATCTGATGTAGCAACAGTCATTGATAGCTTAGTTACATTGCACCTTGACTACTGCAATGCTCTCTAATCCTTTAACTAGTGCAACATGCAGCAGCTAGTATGTTAACAACATGCTAACCAGTACACAGTACTGTGGTCATATGACCCTGATACTGAAAGTGATTCTGAGTAATCATGCACGGTGTCTAGCCAAAGATAAATGTGTGATCTTCAGAGCAATATCTACTTTTTGTCCCTAAGATCAGCCTTTGTGTTGAAGGACTGGGTGGTAGCCAATGTAATGTCTATTCTTTTAAAGAGCTGTTGTGTCTGGGATCTAAAGACTGACTAGTTAATTTAGCAGTTGTACCAGGTGAATTTGCGGAAATGTTATTAAAGATAAAAAAGTTAATTTTAAAAAAATCACTTGAAAGACATAAATCTTAGCCACTAAGAATCTTTTAACTCTGTGCCTGATGAAAAATTATAGAGAAGCTGAAAGTTCATCTTGGGGTATCTCAGGTGAAATTCAAATATATATCTCAGGAAGTGGAACTTGTTCCACATAAGATCACACAGAAATAAAATTATTAGTATTTAAAAGTGCTACAGAATCCTGCTCTTGTATTTTTCTTTTCCTTGAGACAGATTGAACACAATAATTTATCTGGAAATTCCTGTAATTCCTCTGATTTAATATCCCAGCCAAATCTATCTTAACGTACAGTATTGTGAGTTCAGTACTGTTTTAGGCCAGAAGAACCACTCATGTTGCGACTACACTGGCAAACCAAATTGCTTCGATACGGCTTTGCTGCAATTTGATTTTCAGCCTATATTATAGCTGAATTCACAGTCAGTGATCACACAGGGACTGAAGATTGATTTAGTATTCACATTCAGTGCAATTCAATTCACATTTCAGCCCACAGCCTGCCTTCCCTCCCTTCCTCTGATCCCATTTCTGTTGATCCTTTTATGGTTCGTTTTCAAATTGCTTGGTCCCGAACGGGTTGCACAGTTACGGAAAAGGTAGCAACACTCCAAAGTTCTTCCCAATGTGCACAGAAATACCATATACCACAGAAATGGTCTTTTATTTTGTCTGGGTTCTTTTTGTCTGCAGATGTTCCTGCAGTCCTAAACATCACACCTCAGTTGCCGGCATCACCCACAGACATGCCCCCTCCATCTTTACAAAAACAAATCAACTGATCATATAGGAAAAAGTCTGTCTGAACTGTTACAGCTAGAAAA